AGGAGTGGTGAGAGAGGACATTCCTGTCTTGTGCCAGTTTTCAAAGGGAATGCTTCCAGTTTGTGCCCATTCAGTATGATATTGGCTGTGGGTTTGTCATAAACAGCTCTTACTATTTTGAGATATGTCCCATCAATACCTAGTTTATTGAGAGTTATTAGCATGAAGGGCTGTTGAATTTTGTCAAAGGCCTTTTCTGCATCTATTGAGATAATCATGTGGTTTTTTTCTTTGGTTCTATTTATGTGATGGATTACGTTTATTGATTTGCATGTGTTGAACCAGCCTTGCATCCCAGGGATGAAGCCAATTTGATTATGGTAGATAAGCTTTTTGATGTGCTGCTGGATTCAGTTTGCCAGTATTTTACTGAGGATTTTCACATCGATGTTCGTCAGGGATATTAGTCTAAAATTCTCTTTTGTTGTGACTCTGCCAGGCTTTGGTATCAGAAGGATGCTGGCCTCATAAAATGAGTTAGGGAGGATTCCTTCTTTTCCTATTGATTGGAATAGTTTCAGAAGGAATGTACCAGCTCCTCTTTGTACCTCTGGTAGAATGTGGCTGTGAATCCACATGGTCCTGGACTTTTTTTGGTTGGTAGGCTATTAATTATTGCCTCAATTTCAGAGCCTGTTATTGGTATATTCAAAAATTCAGTTTCTTCCAGGTTTAGTCGTGGTAGGGTGTATGTGTCCAGGAATTTATCCATTTCTTCTAGATTTTCTAGTTTATTTGCGTAGAGGTGTTTATAGTATTCTCTGATGGTAGTTTGTATTTCTGTGGGATTGGTGGTGATAGCCCCTTTATCATTTTTTTATTGCGTCTGTTTGATTCTTCTCTCTTTTCTACTTTATTAGTCTTGCTAGCAGTCTACCAATTTTGTTGATCTTTTTAAAAAAACCAGCTCCTGGATTCATTGATTTTTTGAAGGGCTTTTTGTGTCTCTATCTCCTTCAGTTCTGCTCTGGTTTTAGTTATTTCTTGCCTTCTGCTAGCCTTTGAATGTGTTTGCTCTTGCTTTCTCTAGTTCTTTTAATTGTGATGTTAGGGTGTCAATTTTAGATCTTGCCTTCTTTCCCTTGTGGGCATTTAGTGCTATAAATTTCCCTCTACACACTGCTTTAAATGTGTCCCAGAGATTCTGGTACGTTGTATTTTTGTTCTCATTGATATCAAAGAACATCTTTATTTCTGCCTTCATTTCGTTATTTACCCAGTAGTCATTCAGGAGCAGGTTGTTCAATTTCCATGTAGTTGTGCAGTTTTGAGTGTTTCTTAATCCTGAGTTCTAATTTGATTGCATTGTGGTCTGAGAGACAGTTTGTTGTGATTTCTGTTCTTTTACATTTGTTGAGGAGTGCTTTACTTCCAACTATGTGGTCAATTTTGGAATAAGTGCAATGTGGTGCTGAGAAGAATGTATATTCTGTTGATTCAGGGTGGAGAGTTCTGTAGATATCTATTAGGTACACTTGGTGCAGAACTGAGTTCAGGTCCTGGATATTCTTGTTAACCTTCTGTCATTAATCTGTCTAATGTTGACAGTGGAGTGTTAAAGTCTCCCATTATTATTGTGTGAGAGTCTAAGTCTCTTTGTAGGTCTCTAAGGACTTGCTTTATGAATCTGGGTGCTCCTGTATTGGGTGTATATATATTTAGGATGGTTAGCTCTTCTTGTTGAATTGATCCCTTTACCATTATGTAATGGCCTTCTTTGTCTCTTTTGATCTTTGTTGGTTTAAAGTCTGTTTTATCAGAGACTAGGATTGCAACCCCTGCTCTTTTTTGCTTTCCATTTTCTTGGTAGATCTTCCTCCATCCCTCTATTTGAGCCTGTCTCTGCATGTGAGATGGGTCTCCCGAATACAGCAAACTGATGGGTCTTGACTCTTTATCCAATTTGCCAGTCTGTGTCTTTTAATTGGAGCATTTAGCCCATTTACGTTTAAGTTAATATTGTTATGTGTGAATTAGAGTGTGTCATATGATGTTAGCTGGTTATTTTTCCCGTTAGTTGATGCAGTTTCTTCCTAGCTTCAATGGTCTTTACAATTTGGCATGCTTTTGCAGTGGCTGGTACCTGTCGTTCCTTTCCATATTTAGTGCTTCCTTCAGGAGCTCTTGTAAGGTAGGCCTGGTGGTGACAAATCTCTCAGCATTTGCTTGTCCGTAAAGGATTTTATTTCTCCTTCACTTATGAAGCTTAGTTTGGCTGGATATGAAATTCTGGGTTGAAAATTCATCTCTTTAAGAATGTTGAATATTAGCCCCCACCCTCTTCTGGCTTGTAGAGTTGCTGCTGAGAGATCCACTGTAAGTCTGATGGGCTTCCTTTTGTGGGTAACCCAACCTTTCTCTCTGGCTGCCCTTAACATTTTTTCCTTCATTTCAATCTTGGTGAATCTGATGATTATGTTTCTTGGGGTTGCTGTTCTCGAGGAGTATCTTTGTAGTGTTCTCTGTATTTCCTGAATTTGAATGTTGGCCTGCCTTGCTAGGTTGGGGAAGTTCTCCTGGATATTATCCTGAAGAGTGTTTTCCAACTTGGTTCCATTCTCCTCGTCATTTTCAGGTACACCAATCAAACGTCTTTTCACTTAGTCCCATATTTCTTGGACGCTTTGTTTGTTCCTTTTTACTCTTTTTTCTCTAAACTCCTCTTCTCGCTTTATCTCATTAATTTGATCTTCAATCTCTGATACCGTTTCTTCCTCTTGATCAAATTGGGTATTGAAGCTTGTGCATGCATCATGTAGTTCTCGTGCCACAGTTTTCAGCTCCATCAGGTCATTTAAGGTCTTTCCTACACTCCTACACTGTTGATTCTAGTTAGCCATTCATCTAATCTTTTTTCAAGGTTTTTAGCTTCCTTACAATGGGTTCTAACATCCTCCTTTAGCTCAGAGGAATTCGTTATTACTGACCTTCTGAAGTCTACTTCTGTCAGCTCATCAAAATCATTCTCCACCCAGCTTTGTTCTGTTGCTGGTGAGGAGCTGTGATCCTTTGGAGGAGAAAAGACACTCTGGTTTTTAGACTTTTCCACTTTTCTGCTCTGGTTTCTCCCCATCTTTGTGGTTTTATCTACCTTTGGTCTTTGATGTTGTTGACCTACAGATGGGGTTTTGATGTGTATGTGCTTTTTGTTGATGTTGATGCTATTCCTTTCTGTTTGTTAGTTTTCCTTCTTGCAGTCATGTCCTTCAGCTGCAGGTCTGTTGGAGTTTGCTGGAGGTCCACTACAGACCCTGTTTGCCTGGTTATCACCACCAGAGGCTGCAGAACAGCAAATATTGCTGCCTGATCCTTCCTCTGGAAGCTTCATCCCAGGGGGGCATCCGTCTGTATGAGGTGTGTCAGTCAGCCCCTACTGTGAGGTATCTCCCAGTTAGGCTACACGGGGCTCAGGGACCTACTTGAGGAGGCAGTCTCTCCATTCTCAGAGCTCAAATACTGTGCTGGGAGAACCACTGCTCTGTTCAGAGCTGTCAGACAGGGACGTTTAAGTCTGCAGAAGTTTCTGCTGTCTTTTGTTCAGCTATGCCCTGCCCCCAGAGGTGGAATCTGCAGAGGCAACAGACCTTGCTGAGCTGTGGTGGGATCTGCCCAGTTCGAGCTTCCCCAGCCACTTTGTTTACCTACTCAAGCCTCAGCAATGGTGCACACCCCCCTCCCCTGCCAGGCTGCTGCCTCGCAGGTCAATCTCAGACTACTGTGCTAGCAGTGAGCAAGGCTTTGTTGGTGTGTCCTCCTTGATGTTAGTGGGCTTGATCCAGTCAGGTGAAGGCCTGAAGAGAAAAAAAGACTGTCCTCTTCCAAGAAAAAGACAATCCTCCAACAGATACCTTTGGACTGGACCTACACCATCAGCTTTCATGGGTCTCAAGCCTCTTGCCTCACACTCCAGCTTTTGGACTTGTTAGACTTAATAATAATCACACAAGCCAATCCTTTTAAGGGAGTTTCTTTGGAGAACCTTGACAAACACAAACATCTACTGAGAGTTCCTGTCCAAGTTTTGCTCACACCCTAGCAGGAGGCTTCTGGCTTACCAGTCCCAAGGGTGTGAGGTTATTTGGTTGCAAAACCTGAGCCACCAGCTGCCCACCAGCTCTGGCCCAGGGCAAGGCGGGGAACTTCCCTATCACTGAGCAGTGAGTAGCCACACTCTTTCCATTAGGTCTGACTTCACCTGGAAGGGGAGCCCCTTCCAAGGATGTTCCTTCCTTGAGTACTCTCAGTCCTGCGACATTATAGCTCTCTTTTATCCCTCTTAATAGCTAATACCATGATCAGTTAAAAGTTTTTTATATTAAAATTATCCCTGTCCAAGTTAATGGTATGGTTTCTGTCTCCTGACTGGATATTAGGATATAATATTTACTGTCATATTTCTACTACTTTAGGTTTAAAGTTTTTCATAATAAAGATTTAAACTGGATTTTGCATCATTCATTAAATATTTACATAGAACAGGACAAAGGATGATTTTCCTTTGTCTACTTATTGTAAAGAAGCGTCCAAGACTTACCACTACATCATGATTACAGGCGGCCACCAGCTTATGATGGTTTTAGGTTTTTTTTGACTTTATGATGGGTTTATCAGGATGTAAACCCATTTCAAGCTGAGGAGCTCCTTAGGACTTACGAATCATACATACCTCTTTCACACCACAGTAAAGTTGGAAAATTGTTAAGTCAAGGTGTCATTAAGTAGGAGACTGCGGTGTTGCTAATGTTAAAGGTATTTTTGACTTATGATGGGTTTGTTGGGAATTAACCACAATGTAAATCAAGGACCATCTGTATATTGTATGGTTTTTACTAATGCATTGAAAGAGATCTGTGTAAATTATCTATGACTTCAGAATATGCATATTACCTCCAACTGTGTTAACTCATGTTTTTAAAGAGAATAATGGTATTTTTACACTACGTGGATGTGCTGCAGTAGAATTTTTCTAAGCTACAAAAGCGTATGAATAAAAAATCAACTTAAACTTTTTGGGAAATAATTTCTACTAAAGATTCATAATCAGCATATTCCTTTAATGACCAAACAAGTTCATCCAGTAGATAATCTTCTTGCATAAAAGTTTCAAGATCATGCAGTGACTTGCTTATTCTGTGATCTGAGACCTGGTTCTGTGGAAAATTATAGGTTCTTATTTTCTCTGATCTTCCTTTACTTCCAGTCTGAATTTTTCTAGCCCTGTGTTTTTTATACATTTCTTCTTCTAGATACATGTTGTATAGTTTTACACATAAGTTTTTCATAGTCAGCTCTTCATTTTTCAGTTGAGATCTCTCTTGCTGACATTCAGAAACACCTGAACAGTGTTACAACAATTAAAAAGTTTTAATAGAAAAATCTTCTTTACTTATTTTCAAGGAATACTCCTTTTCCTTCTCATCCCTTTTCTTCTTCCTGTTGGAAGATGAACTAGCCGGACAGCACTGTCCGTGGTATTTACATGCTGCCCCCCAAGCTCCACTGGCTTGCTTAGTGTCAATTCTCAAATCTTTCAGATTAATCACCCGATTAATCTCAGTAGGCTGGGGCAATACTGCTTACAGTCATGGTGCTAGTATGGATGAGGCCTTGCTTTTCTGTCTTTGGCACTCTTTGTACTCTGCGCACACGACCTTCAAATTTCATGTCCCTATAGGCTTCTGAACCCCCAATGCTGGCAGATGCATGTCTGAGGCCACCTATTTCACTTGGAAAATATTCCAGGGTTTCAAAATGCCATCTTTTAAATGCAGCGTATGGCTGATACGTATCAAACATCTCTGAAGTAAACAACATTGCCTCCTGACCTCCAACTCCTGCGGTTACTTCCAGGAACAAATCATTTTCATCTGTTTCTTCTGATGCTTCAACTGGTTCTTTCTTTTTATAACACAGAGTTATTTCATTCTCTGCAAGTTTCCTTAAATCTTCATCCTCATCATGCAGCAAGTGCTCGGTCTCCTGCAGCTCCTGTTCCTTCTCGTTCAGCAGCTTGACCACCGCCAACAACTCATGCCTCCTGACCTTCAAATGGGCTTCAGACCCCGCCTGGCGCTTGAGAAAGGTCTGCAAGGGCCCGCCCCAGGTGAACAGCCTCTCCAGCGGCAGGCTACCGCAACTCAGGGGCCCAGGGGGCTGGGCCAACGGCCCCTGTGGGGCCAGAGCCACCAGGCAGTGCCCTCAGCAAGTTTTATATCACACTGTGCAGTTTGATCTACAAGCCAGTCGATGGTGCTTATAGGTAAGAGCTGGTGCAGCCAGTGTGGCTGGGTATATACTTGATCCTTGTTTATGGGCAGAAGCTCTGTTGCCCTAGACAATGAACTGATTCGTGGAATGCATAGTGGCCTGAGCTCCCTGCTCAGCCCCTGGGGGGAGGTGGTGCTCATTGGGGGTACACCTACAGGTTCTGTGATGGCAGGCACAAGCACCTGTGCTGAGGGAGAATCCAGTAGGTGACCACCAAGCACCCAGAGATGTGCCTAGGTGTAGAGCTGGAAAACTTCCTCAGTTCCCTGTTCTCTGTATGGTGATGGGGGGCAGCCTAACTCTAATCCAGGAGAGTGGATGTTCCAGATGCCTGGAGATCCGCCTGGTGTGTAGTGGAGAGGACTCCTCTGCACCAGGATCTCTGCACAGAAACAGTGGGGCAGGTCAGGCTGCTTATCAAGTTGAGTGGGTGTTCCAAATAGCTGGAGATCTGTCTGAGTGTGGAGGAGAGAGGGCCCCCTGCACCAAGATCTCTGCACAAGAGGGGTGAGGAGACTCAGGCTGCTGATCTGGGCAAGCAGGTGCTCTGAATGCCTGGAGATCTGCCTGGGCGTAGAGCAGTGAGGACCCCGTTGCACCATAGTCTATGTCCAGGAGGGATGGGGCAGCTTAGGCTGCTGGTCCAGGCCAAATGTGCTCTGAATGCCTGGGCTTCTGTCTAGGGTGGAGTGGAGAGGGCCCTGCTACACCACGATCTCAGAGGAGCAGTCTGGGCACCCAGCAATGGCACATGCAGGCGGGTTCCAGGTTGCCAAGATGGCCCTGGCTGAAGTCTTGCTGCCCACATAAAACTGCAGCTGTAGCAGCTTTCCTCTTGCCCCAGACCTGTGATGGGGGAGAACATAATTCTAACACTTACTGCTGAGGCACTTGCCACATTTCTGACTGTGGAGACTCCTACCCCACTCCAGAGCAGGTGCTCCAATCTCTTACCCAAGACTAAAATGCCTGTGCAGTCATGCTACTGGTCAGCAAAGGATGGGTGACTTTGCATGCACCTAGATTAAAAATGGCATCCTGATCTCAGTCCTGAGTCTGGGAATATGTCTGTGACTTTTCCCATTCACATTCCTTCACGGTGGCTTCAAACCTCTCCCCAAGTTAGTTCCACGGCTTGAGAGAAACAAAGTGCTCTACCTCGGCCTGTCTTTCTCGGATCCCCATGGAAAGGTGACTTACAGAGCGGGGTTCTCTGCCTCTCTCACGTACTGAGGCTTCGCTCACTTTGATCAGCCATACTCTGTCATGGGGGCTGTTGGCCGGTGTTCTCCTCCCTGGGATTTGGAATGTCCTTCACAATTCTGGTGGATTCCCATTTTCCTTCTTGAATTAAGCTCACAGAGTTGATCCTTATGCACTGCCTTGCTGTTTCCAAGTGGCTGAGCACACACTAAAAGCCTTTAATCCACCATCTTGAGAAAAACATTGTCTTTTCTTACAAGGACGTAAGTCGTATGTCCTTATATGTCCATTGTAAGTCATGGATTTAGGGCTCACTCTAATCCAGTATGACCTCTTTTTAGCTAAATATATATGCAAGGGCTGTATTTCCAAATAAGGTCACATTCTGAGGATCTGGATGAATGTAAACTTCAAGTAAACTTTCTTGACTTCAGGGGCCATGTGCATAAATAAGTATGTGAATAGGTGTGTGTGTGTGTGTGTGTGTATGTGTTTGTGTATTGGGTGTGGGTGGGAAGTTGTTGGAAGACTGAGACGTGGGGGTATCCCACTACAGCCATTTAAAACACTATTCTGAATATATATATAAAAGCTGAGCTGCTGTAACTGGGCTTGCAGGCTACCAGTTTGGGATCCTTCTTGGGCCAGAGAAACACATTTGAATTTATTCCAAGTGAAATTAAGTCATGGAGACTCTGGTTGCTAGAGGGAGGGGGTAGATGGGGGGAGGGACTGGATTGGAAGGGAGCCTGCATGGAGGTAAGTACAACATCAAGGACGTTTCTCTAATTGTCCAGGCATAGTATGGAATACTTTAAAAGACAGGAGCTTGGAAAGTAAGTGTATTTAATTGCAGTTTAAATAGATGCCAAGAACACCTTGGAGATAATTCAAAAAAACTTTATTCGTATATCAGATCACATCTTTGTGGGTTATCTGTAAAACGACAGTGACTAGTAATATCTTCTAGTAAATTTCCAATATATGCCAGAAGGTGGCAGCATTGTCAAACAGCAGGATGCTTGGTGCTGCCTGCCACTCTCCTTTATATGCTTTGGGACCTACTGCATTCAAGGCCATCTCCTCTCTCTCACCCCCGCCCTCCTTGCTGGGTTAACATGGCGTGGGCTGGGAGAAGTGGGGCATCAACAGGGGGCCTAACACTGGTCTCCTTTTATATTAATATCCTCAGAATAGAACCTCCTTAAAACACTACGTTGATTGTATTAAATGTTTCCGTTAAAAATCTCTGGGAGGTAAGACCAGAATGACGAGGAACTTAGAACAATTTCCCATATTTCAGAAAAGCCATGCCTTGGTAAAATGTCAGCTGCTTATGCTAGGATCATTATGGATTCTGTGATAAATCTGATTGTCTCATGCTGAGCAAAGACCTGGGTTGGGAGTTTCAAACATTTTTCCAGAAGCAGAGAAATATTATCTCTAAATAAATTCAGCCAGGCAATTAAACTCTTTCAAAACATTGGAATCTTGATTAACACATAAGAAAGCAGGGGTGGTGAGAATCTTGGGCTTCATTATCTTGGTGGATACAAAGGTCGTCTTCATTTAAAAGACTGTTTTGATTAGGGTGGCAGGGCTAACCAAAAAAACCTGGGTTTGGAGTTGGGCCGATCCCTAACTCTGCAACCTCCAGTAAATAATTCAAAATCTTTGAGCTTCATTTTTCTCATTGCATTGGATTGCTCTTGACATAAATTAAATAGTATATATGAAGAGCCTAGTATAGCGCTAGCACATAGTTGATGCTCAACAAGCTTTCCTTGAATGAATGGAACTAACAGCAGAGCAATATTGAGTTTTAGAGGCCTGCTGTGTGCCTGATACTGTGGTCGTGGCGAGACTCAAAAGCACCAAATGGAAAGAAGAGAAGAAAATATGATTCTCTGATCTGGGACATTTAAATTACTATTTTTAATTTTTAGATCTTGGGCAATTGAACACATTTGAAACTGCCCCCTGGCTCTGGAGGGGGGTGACAAGTAACTGAGATGCCAGGCCACATGCCACTTTTCTTACATACCTCACAGCATGCAGCAGAGGACACAATATCAACTCTGGAAACTGAGCCATTAGAAAGAAAGGAAAGCATGAGTATGTCTTTGATTTGAATACAGGTAGTCATCTCATTACCTGAGGTTCGAGGGAGGGCAAATCTTCCCTTTAATCTCTACCGGCTTTATTGTCAGGGAACAAGACAGGCACTTGCTGCCATTATTCACCATCTCTTATTTGAGGACACTTACTTAGCCTGTGCTCAAACAGATAGTCTAATAAGATGCTTGAGGGAGAGAGGGTGTGTGTGAACGTGAACGTGGAAAATGGTGGCCCCAAGGTCTTCCTCTTGAGCTTTCTCAGGCTAGCCGAGGACAGGAGCAATCACCACAGCTCAAGTTAGAAAGGGGCTGAAGGGTTAACTTGTTCAACTGGCCTTGTATTCTCAAATTCCTTTTATGATTGCCTCAGGAACACTTCAAGAAAAACTCCAAGTAGAGCTTGAGATCTTGGTACCCTGTGCCACCTTGCAATGCCTTTTTCTTCTCAGGAGAAGCTGGGCATCTCAAACTATGCCCTTTGTCAATTGTTCTTTCTTTGAATACTTCAAGGCCCTGCATTCCTTCTACATGTGGCTCCCTCCCACCCTGGTAACGGAGGAGGATTATGTGAATTCGAATAACATTTTTTTCCATAATTTCCAATAGTTCCTTTTTGGATAATCATGCTGTCTAATGCTTTTTTGCTAAAAGTATCATTTTATTGAAGAATTATACTTCTGTTTCTGTGCGTGAACATATATAGATTTCTATAAAAAATCAGGAACCGGCTGGGTGCAGTGGCTCACGCCTGTAATCCCAGCACTTTGGGAGGCTGAGGTGGGCGGATCGTGAGGTCAGGAGATCAAGACCATCCTGACTAACATGGTGAAATCCCGTCTCTACTGAAAATACAAAAAATTAGCCGGGTGTGGTGGTGGGCGCCTGTAGTTCCAGCTACTTGGGAGGCTGAGGCAGGAGAATGGCGTGAACCCGGGGGGCGGAGCTTGCAGTGAGCCGAGATTGCGCCACTGCAGTCCAGCCTGGGCAAGAGAGCGAGAGTCCATCTCAATAAAAAAAAAAAAAATCAGAAACCAGCTTGTCATTAAGTGAGTTGTTACTCATTGTTTATTGGATGCATACAAGGTACCAGGAATACAGGAGTGAATAAGACAGAAAACTCGCCCTTCAGGAGTTTGTATTTTAATAAGCTGTCATCTCACACAAGGTGAAAGAAGATTGTATTATCTATTGCATAACAAATTGTTATTGTATTATTTGTTGTATTATCAATACAGCCTATTGATAAATAAATAGATTGTATTATCTATTGCATAACAAATCACCCCCCAAAACATAATGGCTTAAAATAATAAACATTTAACTTGTATTTTCCTCTTTCTGCTGTTTAAGAATTTGGGAATGGCCTACCTGGCTGGTTCTGACTTAGGGTCTTACGTGTGACTGCAGTTGGATGTTGGCAAAGGCTGTAGTCAGCTGAAAGCTGAAGTGAGGCTGGAGAACCTGTTTTGAAGATGGCTGTCTCACATGGCTGTAAGCAGGAGGCCTTAGTTCCTAACCATGTGGCCTCTCCATAGATGGCTTGAGTACCCTCACAACATGGAGGTTGGCTTTCTTCAGAGT